GTACTGAAATGAAGAGCTTCAAGCAAGGCTGAAACCTAGCAACCAGCTCTCCTGAAATATCTCGTTCAATGTGTTGTACGTAGAGTGTATCAGAGGAGAGTATATACAGCAAAAATGGTAACCACGCTTCAGCATTAATTTCATTTGGTGACTCACCCACTCTGTCATCCGAAGATGGCATTGATCTAAATTGTGACCTTTTCTTCTCACTCATATCATTAGAATAATGCCAGTAAAAGGGCAGTGACTCACCACTGGAGCAGATTCTTCTCGAGAAAATTAGCAGAGCTTTGTCATGGAAATCTTGGTTAAAGGGTCTTTTATTAACTTCACCTGGTGAGCAAGCCCATTTTTTTGCCCAGCCAGTTAAGGGCCTCTTCAATAATACGTTCTGTGGATTCAATCTAGCCCGACCATGTTATTTTGTTGATTCTTTCCCCTTCTGGCAGTACTTCAGGCCTTGAATGCAACAAAATAATTTTTCCACTGAATCAGTTGTTAATCACCATTGCCACTATAATTTGAAAGGGCTTAGGAGGCTTGTTTTGCAGTCTGGAATAGTTTTCATACATCACTTGTGGGCCCAAATCCCCCTGTTGATATCGATTAATTGTATAACCGCACTGTCTTGTAGAAGCGGATACTCGGAGGTGTTGAAATTACTGTTTCCCAGTTGCTAAATGAGCACATCAGGGAGAATAAAAATGCAGAAGTTTTGGTATTAAAAATAAAGCCTAGTAATTAGACCCAGCTTGCTTATTAAGTCAACATACCTGGTCTTATTAAATTATATGTCACTTATGTTTAATCCACCCTTCTCTAGCCTACCAAATTCTGGAAGACACCGGGTGTAACTGCTTGAATTCCTTCTGTAAAATACTAACATAAAATTACATGTACTTGAAAACTTGATTAATACCTCCCAAAACTGGAAGCAACCATCTCACAGTTGTCTAGTTTAAGGATTCATTGTTTGTTTGAGGCCCAGAAAGGGGAAGTAGCTTGCTGAAGGTCACACAGCAAGTCATGGAAAAGCTGAGACAGCATCTCAGTACTCCAGTTTCCAGGCCAGTCCCCTTGGTATCTCAGTAGCCCCTTGCCATCAGAGTTCCTGGGGATAGCGTTGAGTGTTCAAGAGAGTATTAAATGATATTCTCTGCCAATTGCTTAAGAAGTATATAGTATATTAGTATATTTAGAAACACTGCTTTTCCAAATGGTCCCAGTATATAAGCTCTAGGATTTAAAGGGAGATAAATTAAGTTAAATTCCCTTCTATGGGCCCTCTTGGTCTTCAGTGGACAGGATGCTTTTAGATTCATATTGTGCTTATAAGTCAGCAAGATTGATTTCCACAAGAGACAGGAGAAATTTAGTGTCGTAACTCCATGTATGGACTTTTGCTTTGGCATAAAGTACTAAGAGTAGCAGAAATAAAAGCACTACTAATGTGTAATTATTGGAACAGATCCTTCTGGTGAATAAGGGGCCAGTTATCAGCTTCTGGAGGTAATATTAGCTTTTTTTTTTTTTAATCTCTGGGTTAGTTTACCAGTTAGTGTTTAGTCATCATTTTTATAAATTCATTTCCTAGTAGGTATGGATTTTCTTCTCTCTGCAAGTTTACATACTTTCACAAGAAGCCTGCCTAAACTAAAAGTAAATAACTGAGTTTATGTTTCAGAATAGTTTTTTTTAAAAAGATTTTATTTATTTATTTGAGAGAGAGAGAATGAGAGAGAGCACATGAGAGGGGGGAGGGTCAGAGGGAGAAGCAGGCTCCCTGCTGAGCAGGGAGCCCGATGCGGGACTCATCCAGGGACTCCAGGATCATGACCTGAGCCGAAGGCAGTCGCTTAACCAACTGAGCCACCCAGGTGCCCTGTTTCAGAATAGTTTTAAATGAATTTTAAGAAAACTTAGGGCAGTTCAATAATTGGCTGAATCATCAAGCTAAAGTTGAGCTTCAGAAGCTATAAATAGCAGTATTTACTGGTTTCAAATATCCATGGGGAAGAGCCAGTTGGATTGGGTTCTGTCAGTCACATCCCACTCTGTGTAATTCTTGTGTTCATTTTTCTGGAGGCTAATGCTATAGGGATCATGTAGAGCATCTTTTTATTCATTTATCCAGATATTACCTCATTAAATATTTAGTGTATATTTTCTATGTGCCAAATCCAAGGGGGACAGAGAGGCATGAAGGAGATGGTGCCTGGATACAGATAGATCCCAGATTGGAGAGGGGAAATGGCAAGTGAGTAGGGATACCCCCCTTTTGGAGGTGCTCCAGTAGATGTCAGCTAGCGTCAGGGAAGGTCACTAAAAGCTTCTTAGATGAAATGACACCTAGCTGTGTGGGGAAAGCAAAGGGTTTGACAGGGAGCAGTGGGGTAGGGCTGGGGCTGGGAGGAGGGCATGTCAGGCACTGGGCAGAGCAGCGCATGTGATACCAGGGTGGGAAAGGGTGAGAGGGTCTGGGGGTGGGGAGGCAGCAGGCTCAGGACAAAGAGGGCCTTGTGAGCCCCATGCTTGGGTAAAGGAAAAGCAAGTGCCAAGGCCCAGAGGTGGAAGGGAGTTCAGTAGGGTCAGAGCAGAGCTGCAGACCTTCAAAGGCAGAGAGTAGAGGCAGAAGCGCAGGGCTAAAGATCAGAAGATTGGGCAATGGAGCACTAGCAAAAGGTTTTCGGCAGGAGAAGGACACGATCAAACCTGTGCTGTTAGAAAGCTCCCTTGCCAACAGTGGGAAGAAGTAAAGGGATACACCCTTGTGCAAGTCTCTTTGGGTACAAGGGAAACCATAAAAAAACAACAGCTTCCCCCTCCCAGCTGGGGAGTAGCTGGATGAATTTTGACTTAATCACACAGTGGCAAAAGTGAATGAGCCAGCTCTACGTGTATCAACATGGATAATAACAGAAAACAATAGGGCATATTGTTTACAGATACACAAGTGCATGGAAATACCCAGAGTGCATAGAAGAGCACACACCTACCTCAGGGTATTTGGTACCTCCATAGGAGGAGCAGGGGGTCACCTCTAGCTGTTTGGTAAGGCTTTATTTATTTAAAAAACATTATCTGAAGCAAGTATGGTAAAATGTTAATATCAGTTAAATCTGGGTAGTGGGGACATATGTTCATATTATATTTTTTGTGCATGTTTTAGTACGTTTCAAATATTTCAAAATAAAAATTTTAAGTAAAAAAAGGATATTGTATCAATTCGTGTACTCTTGGCTTCAAGTAAGAGAATAAGAATTAAATAAAAAATATAAACTCACTGTCAAAAAAAAAAAGAGGTCTAAAGTAGGTTTTTTATTATCCCATTAAGGGTTTATAAAGTACAGTCTGTTGTGGGCCCTATCTGGCCTGTTACCTGTTTTTATATGACCTGTGAGCTGAGAATGTGTTTTACATTTTATTTTTTTAATTTAATAATAAGCATTTATTATTACTATTATTATTTTTATTATTATGTTCAGTTGGCCAACATATAGTACATGTTTTTTACATTTTTAAATGGTTGAAAAAAATCAAAAGAAGAGTATTCCAGGGACGCCTGGGTGACTCAGTCGGTTAAGCATCTGCCTTCAGCTGAGGTCTGATCTGAGGGTCCTGGGATGGAGCTCTGTGTTGGACTCCCTGGCTCAGCAGGGAGTCTGCTTCTCTCCCTCTCCCTCTGCCCTCCCCCCTGCTTGTGCTCTCACTCGCTCTCTCTGTCTCAAATGAATAAATAAAAAATCTTAAAAAAAGAAGAATATTCTGGGATATTTGAAAATTACATGAATTTCCAACTTCAGTGTCTGTAAATAAAGTTTTATTGGTAGACAGCCATGCCCTTTCATCTAAGTATTGGCTATGGCTATTCTTGCACTGCAAGGGGACAGCTGAGTTGAGACAAAGATGGACCACAAAGCTTAAACCATCTACTGTCTGGCCTTTCAAGAAAGAGTTTGCTGATTCCTGCCATTTAACAAAAGACCCCAAAGCTAAGTGATTCCAGGATTGGTTAATTCAGTAGTATGATGTTGGGACTCCAGGTGGTTCTCTATGTGCATGGCTGCCATATCTCTGCCACATCTATGGCTGCCATTGCTCCAAGCATCATGTATCATATGACAATGTTCAAAGGTTGTGGTGGGGTAGGAGGACTTGCCTCATATGTCTCTCCCTTTTTTTTTTCTTTCTTTGTGTATGTATGTATGTGTGTGCGTGTGTCTCACTTTTTAACAGAAAGGCTGTCCTTTCTCAGACGGTATAAACTTGAAAATGAAAAAGTTGGATTGGAAGGGGCAAGAGGGGAGACCACTTAGGAGTCCAGTGGGCAATGCCACCATTTGGGAGAGACATGAAGTGACAGGAGCTTGGACCAGGGGCATTGCATGGAGCGGAGGTGGTTGGATTCTGGGTATATTTTTGAAAGACAAGCCAATGGACTGGATGTTGGAGGAAAGAGTTGAATCAAGCAGGACTCCAAGGTTTCCGGCTTGGACAACTGGGTGTCTGTCATTCCAGTAGATGGGCGGACAGTTGTTGTGTATAGGTGAGGATCAAGTCTCAATGTCTTTGCTGCTTTGCCATATTTCCAAGTAATAAGAGGTGAGAAAATGAAGCAGAAGCAGTGTTTTTGCTTAAAAGATCTATAACTCAAAAGTGTTGTTTTTCTACTCTGATTAAAGAGAGTTTCAAGTTTACAAAGTGCTTTTATACCCACTTTTTCATTTGACCCTCAACTCCAGAAATGAGAATGGCAGGAATCCTCCTCATTTTACAAATGAGAAAACTGGGATGCAGAGAGGGGAAGTCCAAAGGCTGGAATGGAAGGTGTGTCCTTTCCTGGGTCAGAAGGGAGCTGTTAAAACTGACCCTTGTCTTTCCTGGGCGACATGTTTGCTTTTGTTTACCTTTGACGTACAACTGGCTAAGTTTTTTCCCTCTTTAATATTACACGCAAACATCATTTTATATTTTATTTTATTTTTGTTTTTGTTTTTGTTTTTTTAAAGATTTTATTTATTTATTTGAGAGAGAGAGAGCACATGAGAGGGGGGAGGGTCAGGAGGGCCAGAGGGAGAAGCAGACTCCCTGCTGAGCAGGGAGCCCGATGCGGGACTCGATCCCGGGACTCCAGGATCATGACCTGAGCCGAAGGCAGTCGCTTAACCAACTGAACCACCCAGGCGCCCCATTTTATATTTTAAAATATCTTCCTATTATTTTAGTATTTTCATAACAAAAAAAACAGACAGTAATTTGAGTTGTTTGCTTATTTTTAGATGATCGCACGTAAGTGCTTTGAATCATCTCTAAAAGCTTATTTCCACAGCACATAACAAAATTAATTAAATTGCCTTTTGAAGCAGGGCTGCTTTGTTTCCCACTGAAACGATGACTCATGAGGTCTGAGTGAGTCTCATTTATATTCCTCCTTCAGCAAGTAATTTAAATGTGAGTTATATAGAAAGGAAAAGGAAGAAAGAACAAGGAGAACACAAACAGAACTATCCCTTGCTTACCTCTTTGACGAGTTATCAGTTATCCTGGATGTGGCGTTACATAGGTGGAACCTGCCGTATTTTGTTGGTACCAGAAATTCCTATTGACAGCAGCATTGATAACTGACAGCTACGTGTCTTGGGTTGTGTAAGTGGGTCAGGGAAGGTAGAGTTTGGCACAATACAAGGGAACACTTTCTGATCCGCTGACATGCCCAGCACTGGTACCTTCTGGGTTGGGTGGCAGTGAGCTTCTTGATGCATGGGTATGAGAAGAGAAGGCTGCTTGGTTGGAGGCGTGGGGGTAGAGGAGTTTTTATTTAACAGCCAATCTGAACCATGGGAGACTGGGACAAGGTAGGTTTGAGTATGTTGTGGCATCGATGATGGAGCATATCCTGAAGTAAATGCTTACTTTGACAGTCACTTTTATTTTATAATTAGGAACTTTTCAGCAGTTGGAAACATAGCACTTAGCACATGACAGGCATGTGATGAACGTTTACTGAATGCTCACCTACAGGGATTGGGAAGAGGAGGAATGGCTGAATGAATGAAGTAAATGCTTATTTTGACAGTCACTTTTTTTTTTTAAAGATTTTTTATTTATTTATCTGAGAGAGAGAATGGGAGACAGAGAGCATGAGAGGGGGAGGATCAGAGGGAGAAGCAGACTCCCCGCTGAGCAGGGAGTCCGATGCGGGACCTGATCCTGGGACTCCAGGATCATGACCTGAGCCGAAGGCAGTCGCCCAACCAACTGAGCCACCCAGGCGCCCCTTGACAGTCACTTTTATTTTATAATTAGGAACTTTTCAGCAGTTGGAAACATAGCACTTAGCACATGACAGGCATGTGATGAACGTTTACTGAATGCTCATCTACAGGGATTGGGAAAAGGAGGAATGGCTGAATGAATGGGCTCGTGCATGACCAAGTATGGAGGAAGGAACTGCAATAGGAAGGATTTGAGATGCCTTTATGTGGACTTCGAAGACTGGTTTTGAACTAAAGGGAACTTGGAGCCTGCATTCTGTGTGAACACTGTGGCTTAGCCACAAACCTGTGTTCTTTGAGTTACGGCCAAGTGAGCATTTCATCTGGTGGTTCTTCTGGTGGCAGTGGGCATTGGGAGATTGTCCAAACAGGCTTTTTGGTTTTTTTTGTTTGATTTTCCAGAAAGCCAGCAAAGTAGGTCCATTGAAATATATTGCTGTTCCCCTCCTAGCTATCCCACCACCCTCAAGGGCCCCCACCAACACACAGATTGGACTTTAATGCCAACAGCTGAAATGCAGCCAGTTCATATTCTTGCTTTTTGTTGAGACATACTTTGTTCCTTACTCCAGTGATTTTGCTAGCAATTTTGCTGATAGAAAGGGAAGGAGGACCCACAGAGAATGTGGGCAGATGGCTTATAGAGGTGGCACAGTTTGCTCAATTTGTTTTATAAAACAATAGGCAATTATAAACTCCTACTCAGAGATGTATTTCTCCTTGATTTTCAGAAATACAGGGGTGAATATTGCCCAGGGACTGAAGCTAGATGAAGGTGATTTGGGTCCATTTTAATGTTTTCCATTCTCAAGAGATGTGTCTCATGGGAAAGCAATAACATTAGGGAAAGTATATTGTGAGTTTTGAGGGACGCTTTTGGCTAATTCCCATAATCACTCTGTGCCTTTATGTCCTCATAAGTAAGTGGAGACAACACCCGCCCGTTGTATGGCTTTGGGCAAAGGCCAGCCAGATGAGACCTGTTGTTTTGTGCACTGCACAGTTGAATTCAAGGTGCCCTTATTTAGATTATTACTCCTATTTGCTGATTAATGGTGCTTATTTTAAAACTGATTCTGGAAGAAGCATCCAAACAAAATAACAGTCCGCTCCCATTGTTAGCATGGTCTGCTTTGTGAAATCACAGATTCTACTCAAAGGCTACATTCCACAGAAAATAACTGCAATTTAAACATATGAGCCTCTAATGGAACCACCTTCCAGTCTGCACCTATTTCATCCCTCTTCCCGCCACAACACAATGACCTCCTGAGCTGTTTGCTAACAACATTTATTAACCGCAGGCCTGGAGACAGACAAAACCAAGTCAGAATGCTTTACTAGGCCCAACACTCAGATGATGAGCAGAAACCTTTCTCTATATAATTTCCATTGGTCAATGCTCAAGCAGACTCTAAAAGAAACCCACCATTTTCTATACCTACAGAAAACATTTCTTCCCAAGAGAGTGTTCAGATCTTTCCTCCTCCATCTGTGTCTTCTGGCTAACACCTCCCTGTTTGCCTTGCACATATTTTCTTCTACACAGCTGCTGAGTCCAGTGCATTGGTCTTCACCTAGGGAACTCGAGTGGTGCACCTCACTGCCACCAAAGGCCAAGTCAGGGTATATAACTGCTACCAAATATTGGGGATTAGCTATAGAAGTTCCAGAAAGACCTTCTTATCATTCAAAGTCCAACATTCTTTCTTACCAACGTACCTACAAATGGTAAATAAAAAAATGATTCATAATATAGTAACTATCCCCTCATTATTCCTTAATCTTTTATTAATCTCCCTTATTATGAATTAGGGGAATATGCTAAAAAAGAAGATATCGCTCTTTCTGTCTCTATAACAAACAACAGTAATTATCTGGTGGAATGCATCCCCCTTCTCTGCAGGGAATTACCATTTGCTTCAGGACTGAACAAAATGAGAAAGTATGACATCACTGAATCCACTTTTAAAATTAATATGAAGCGCTTGTCATGAAAATGTAGATCTTCCCAACGGGGAAAAAATATGACTAGTATCAACTGAATCAGAAATATGAAAGTGTCAGGCTGTCATTTACCTGAGCAATTTGTCTTGGTCCTGTACAAGGGAGCCTTGGAGGCAATTGGCAGTTGCGAAAAGAAACACAAAGACAAACAAGACCCCAAAATCAAAACTTTAAAAACCAAAGAGTTGCCACCCAAATTTTTAGTAGCTATCCATATTTTCACTGACTTCTTATCTGAGTATGGAACCAACAAAGCTGCAGAAGAGATCATAGAATCTTAGAACTCAATGAGTCCAGAAGTTTCTTAACATTCTTTTTCTTTTTAAAAAACAACATCTTTTCCTACTAAAATTTAACATGGAAGGCCATCATGGGAAATTTTCGTGAGCACAGCTGTCCTGGTTGAAGTGCATGCACATGGACTGGGGGACTGAGGGATGTTCTCTCACATCCACTGTACCCATGTGCGGCCCCTAAGCACCTTTCCAGGAAGCTCATGGCCTTGAGGAGTTTGGAAACAAGACCAGTCCATCCTACACTCCTCTGGTGATAAAGGGCGCAGAGTCTCAGAGCTGGACCTGAGGCAGGCCTGAGGTCACCTAGGCAAACCAGAGCCATTGGAGAGCTGAGTCCTCCAAGCCAGGCCTGTGCACCCCATGTGGGGAGCCTGAACTGAGCTGTGGAAATCTCCTCACACCTACCTTTATTCTTGGCCCCTTTACCTGAGGAAAATTTGCCTGGCTACCAAAGAGTATTGCTATCATTAGCCAGCTCCACATTTCAGTTGTTAAGAAACTTCCTTGCTCTGTTGTTAATGTGGATCCAGTCAGAACTGAGTTTTAGGCATGAAAAGTCTGTGGTCCTTTTGTCCTTGATTAATTTAGTGACATTCTAGAAAGGAAGCTGAGAAGCTTGAAACATCCTTGCTCATTAATAATATACTTTTCCTTTTGGTAATATAAACATAATTCAAGACCCGATTAAAATGTCCCAATTTTTTGTCAGTAAGGAAAGAACCTTTATAACTCAACTTTGCCATATGTTCTTGTCCCAAGTGCTTGTCATCTCGATTAAATTGCTCATAACTGTATGCAATGTAGAAGCTTTGGCAGAGTTGGGCAGCCATAGTTCAGAGCCTGATCTGATCTGTTTGCATGAGTGGTGGTAAAGGAGTTGACTTGGATACTGGATCATGTGCTATTTGTAGTGCATTTCTGAGATATTATTAGTCAAATTCAGTTGATCTCTGCTTCAACTCACGTGGGTGGCCTGCCATCATTTAATTGATGAAACCTGGGACAGAGCTGAAGGCTATCAAACTGATGCTCAGGTTAAATTTGTGGGTCAGTCTACTGTCTTGAAACCGAACAGCAGGATTAATAACATCCCTCCAGTTCAGTTCTCTTGCTAAGAGCCACTAAATAGATAATGTGCGATGGCCTCGCCTCAAGTCTGGAGCCATTCCAGAGGAAAGTGCCAGAGTCTGGACCAGAAGCACAGTGGACTCACCCCACACCATCCGTGGAGCCTCGCAGAGTCCTAATGGGTCCCAACCCGTACATACCAGTTAATTGGCTATAGGTGAGCAGTGTTCACTTTCATTCAGCAAATCACACTGAGTGCATGTGATTTGCCAGGCCCTGTATGTGGCAACGGGGATGTGGAGACACGTAAGACATGATGTCCCCTGAACGTAGTGGAGGGGTGAGAGGACAGAGGCATAGACAGGCAGGCCAATACTATTTAGAAAGTGAATCAAAGGAGGCTTGGACAGGGTGCTTTGAGTGCGTGAAAAGGAAGCAACTAACTCAGGCTGGACGGTGAGAACAGCACCCTCAGGGACTAGGGGAAGCTTCTGGGAGGAGGGGATGCTCAAGCTGTCTTTTATAAAAATGAAAACATATCATTTTTTCCCCTATGATCAGAGGATATGTATTTGTTGTAGGAAACAATTACTACTTCCAAAAAACAACAATAAAAATCACTGTAACACCACTACCAGAGGTAAGCACTGCTTACATTTGAAGCATGTCCTTTCAGTCTCTCTATCATCTAGGTCTATACACAAATGCTTTAAAAATGTTCTCAGATAGTGAGCAGCTGATTTGTTACTTCGTTTTTTTTAAAAAAAGCCTAACAATACACAATGAATATTTTTTCATGTCACTAAATATTCTTCGCCATAATATTGCATTGCATGAGGTCCCTAATTTACTTAATTCTTTATTATGGGAATTTAGTTGTTGCAAAATTTTCACTATTATTAACTATGACGAAATCCTTACACTTAAATTTTTTACACATCTATAATTATTTCCTTAGGACAGATCCCTAGAATGAAAATCACTGGGTCAGAGGTTATACACATTTGAGGCTAAATACCAGCCAGCGTCCAAGACAGCCCCAGTGATCCTTGCTGCCTGATACTCATTCACACCTTTGTGTGGCCCCCTCTCATAAGAAATAGGGCTATCCTGTAAGGCCAATAGGATATTGCAGAAGTGACAGGTATGTACTTCTTTTTAAAAAGTTAAATAAAATTTTGAGATATTTTTCTTTTTCCTTTTTTGTAGCTGTATTGAGGCATAATTAACAAATTAAAATTGCATGTATTTAAGGTGTACAGTTTGATGCTTTGATATATGTATACATTGTGTGTATCATTGTGTGATCACCAAAATCAAGCTGATTAACACTTTCATCACTTTACATAGTGTGTGCATGTATGTGGGTATGTGCATGTGTGTGTGTGGGGGGGGGAGTCACTTAAGATCTCCCCTCTTAGCAGGTTCCAAATATACAATGAAGTATTGTTAATTGTAGTCACACTGCTGTGTATTAGTTCTCCAGAACTATTCATCTTGCATAACTGAAATTTTATATCCTTTGACTGTCACCTCCTCGTTTCTCCCAACCCAACCCCCATCCCCTGGCAACCACCATTCTACTGTCTGCTTCTATAAATTTAACTTATTTTATTTTATTTTTAAGATTTTATTTATTTATTTGACAGAGAGAGCACGCACACGTAGGCAGAGTGGCAGGCAGAGGGAAAGGGAGAAGGAGACTCCCCACTGAGCAGGGAGCCTGATGTGGGACTCGATCCTAGGACACTGGGATCATGACCTGAGCCAAAGGCAGACGCTTAACCGACTGAGCCACCCAGGCACCCCTAAATTTAACTATTTTAGATTCTACATATAAGTGAGATCATGTGGTACTTGTCTTTCTGTGTCTGTATTATTTCACTTGGTATAATGTCCTCCAGATTCATCCATGTTGTTACAAATGGCAGGATTTCCTTGCTCTCGAAGGCTGCATGATATTCCACTGTATATATAAGGTATGTACTTCTGAGACTAGGTCATACACAACATTGCCACTCTGCCTTGCTCTCTTGGGTTACTTATTCTGGGGGAAGCCAACACTGTGTCATGAGGCCACTCAAGCAGTACTATGGGGGTCCATATGGTATAGAACTGAGGCCTCCTGCCAACCGCCAGCACCAACTTGCCAGCCATGTGAGTGAATCACCTTGGAAGCAGGTCCTCCAGTCTCATAAGCCTTAAGATGACTGTAGTCCCTGCAGACATCTTGACAAAGAGACCCCGAGCCAGAAGCACCCAGGTGAGCCACTCCTAAATTCCTGACCCATGAAAACTGTGAGATAATAATTATTGTTTCTGCAAACTGGTTAGTTTGGGAGCAATTTGTTATGCAGCAATAGATAGCTAATGCAGTATATATCACTTTTGCTCTATTTTTTTTTAAATTTCTTTGATTTTTTCAGTGAGGTTTATTTTTTCAAAATCCTATTGACCATTTTATTTTCCTTCTCTTATGTTTTTCGAATTGTATGTTTAGGTTGTTGGGTTTTTTCTATTTAAGATCTATTATATTAAGAATATTTTTTGCCTGTCATAAACCCAATATTTCCCCTCAGTGTTTATTTTCCTGAAGTGAGGTACAAAGGCACAAGGCAAGATTGAATGGTGGGGAGAGGCCATGAGATGGCAGGCAGAGGAGCATCATGGGACATGTGGGGAAGTTGCAGGAGGTAGATGAGAATAATGAGGGAGACAGGAGTGTTAGGAAATTAGACCAGTACTTCTCAAACTAAGTGTTCATGACAATCACATGGAAATCTGCTTTAAAAGGCCAATTCAGGAAGGCAATGAGTGGACCACACTCTGAATAGTGAGGATTTAGAGAGATAGTTAGGAGATATTTGTGGAGGAAATCTTAGAAAACAGCAACAAGTGAAAAGGAAAAGTTAAAATCACCAGTACGCCCATGATTCAGAGACAACTCTATGATACACCGAGCAGCTGACCACTATCCTAAAGGGGACAGAGAGGCATGGATATCACAATATATATATTTTTTGAAGGTGATGCTAACAAAGTTTGTTGTCAGCCTGACTGCACTGTGAGAGTGAGGAAAGGGAGGACATCGGGTTTCTGGAGCAGGTAGCTGAAATGGTGATGACCAGGGGAGAGGCAGGTGTTTTGCGGGGGCTGGGGAGAGAAGCCTGCTTGAGACCTTCACTATACTGGAGGTGCTTGCCAGGATATTGAGGGGGTGGGACGATGCCCAGTTGGTAGTTGGTGGGTCTGGAGCTCAGGAGACAGGGTAAGCCTACAGTGTAGTAGACTTCGGAAAGAAGAGCATGTACCACGGTGGAGAGGTAAAGCTTGGGTATTTCTGAGCTGCCCAGGGTGACTTTATAGCTTATGGGAGAGGAGGATCCAGGACACAGCCTCTGAGCCCAGGCTTTACAGGGCAGGTAGAGGAAGGGGAGTCCAGGAAGACGACCAAGAGGGATGAGAACCAGAGTGTGTGGCTTCACATAAGTGTCCAAGGATGTTTCAAGAGCCACTAGGATCAGGGCTGAAAAGTGGCTGTTCCTCTGCATCCAGCTGGGGTTAGGGCTAGAGGGAGAGAGACCAACATGGACGGCATGCAGCTGGGCTGGGAGGTAGGGAGAGATGAGTGAGAAACAGCAGTGGCTGGGCAATGGAAGAGGGAGATTCCATGTATCTTAGAATTCAAGGATTCATTTTTCTCTGAGCTTTGGTAATATAAAGACGGCATGATGGATTTCTCAGAGAATAGACTAAATATTTTTTGCAAGATTAATAAGATTAGAAACTGTGAGCTTTAACTCTGTGCCAAGTGATATGTGCATAGATGCTAATTTTTACTCTTCCAGTACCTTGGGAATTATAGCCTCCTTTAAAAATGAAACTAAGGGTCAGAGAAGTCAAGCAGCATGTCCAAGGTCACACAGCCGGTCTGTGGCAGAGCTGAAGTTTGGGTCTAGTTATGGCTGAGATCTAAGATCCCTGCTCAACTTTTCTCCTCGGCTTCTGGGGCTCTGGAGTCTTCTGGCTTTCCTCTTACTACAGTGGCTGCTGCTTCTTCCTCTCCTTTGACAGTTTCTCCTCATCTACTCTTCAGGTTAGAGGACCATAAAGCTTCTTCCTCAGCATCCTCACTTCCCTCCTCTCCACTCATTGCCTTTCTGATCTTACTCAAAATCATGGCCTTAAAAACCATGTATGTGCTCCTTCCAGATTTACATTTCCAGCCTGTGCCTCTCCCTTGAACCTCAGACTTGTACACCCAACTGTGAATTTTGCATAGCCTTAACTTGATATTGCTTTCTCCTACCCTAAATCTAATTCACCAACAAACTCTGTCCATATTTCCTTCTAAATATAGCCACTTCTCACTATCATCATGGCTTCCACCCCAGTCCTACTCATCATTGTCGTCGTCGTCATCATCATCATCTCTTGCTGGAATCACTACAGTAGACTCTTGCCTGCTTTCTCTGCTTCTGCCCTTGTCCCATTTGATACATTCTCTGTACAGTTGCTAAGTTGATGTTCTAAGAGTAAAACTTAGATCATGTTACTCTTCTTCCCAAAACTCTTACATAGGGTAAACCCAAAAGTCCTGCATAATCTTCCTCCTATCCCCATCTCCTACTCTGTCCCCCTTGCGCTTAATGAACAGAGTTGGGAGAGGGGATACAATTTGCTTCAAAAAGATGTAAGGCCCATGTAGTGTAACATCAGACGTGAATGAAAGAAAAGACTGGTTTTGGGTACAAAGACAGGCATTGTTTTTAATTTTTTTATTGTTATGTTAATCCCCATACATTACATCATTAGTTTTAGATGTAGTGTTCCATGACTCATTGTTTGTGCATAACATCCAGTGCTCCATGCAGAACGTGCCCTCCTCAATACCCATCACCAGGCTAACCCATCCTCCCACCCCCCTCCCCTCTAGAACCTTCAGTTAGTTTTTTAGAGTCCATCGTCTCTCATGGTTCGTCTACCCCTCCGATTTCCCCCCCTTCATTCTTCCCCTCCCGCTATCTTCTTTTTTTCTTTCTTAACATATATTGCATTGTTTCAGAGGTACAGATCTGAGATTCAACACTCTTGCACAATTCACAGCGCTTACCAGAGCACATACCCTCCCCAGTGTCTATCACCCAGTCACCCCATCCTTCCCACCCCACCCCCCACTCCAGCAACCCTCAGTTTGTTTCCTGCAATTAAGAATTCCTCATATCAGTGAGATCATATGATACATGTCTTTCTCTGTTTGACTTATTTCGCTCAGCATAATACCCTCCAGTTCCATCCACGTCATTGCAAATGGCAAGATCTCATTCCTTTTGATGGCTGCATGATATTCCATTGTATATATATATACACCACATCTTCTTTATCCGTTCATCAAAGACAGGCATTGTTATACTGAGCTTGGGTGTGTTGTAATTTTTGCTTGCTTGTTTGGTATTGTTTTGAGTCTTAATCCCTTAGGATGTGCCACAGAAAACTGTAATGATCAAATATAGGCTATGAACACAAAAATCAGAGGGTCACTTGTCTTGATTACAATATTCTTGAAACTAATAAAAAAAACCAGTGGCAATTGTAGACTGATAGAATCTAGGATCAACTACTCCAATGCCCCCTCATTTTGTAGATTGGGGAGTGACTAAGAGAAATTACCTTGTGCATATCACCCAGACCATACAGCCCCATCCTGCCTTCTTTTGAGCAGTGTTGACTGGCAGTTGTGATGAAGGCTCGAGCAATTGTGTTTTGAGGACTCAGTAAAGTATTCTGTGAAGGATTTTCTGAATTTCAATGATCTTGAAGATGGGTTCACTGTTTTCTAATTTCACATGGAGTTGAAGTATTTATTTTAGAGGGTAAGTACTCTAATCATCTACAATATGCTCTACGAGAGGTTTTGATTTAAGGCTTGTAAGTTGATTTCTGCCAAGGTGGTATTTTGAAATCAATACATTATTTCTAGTGCTAGTAGAACATAGGGCTATATCTGTGTGCTCTGCTGTCATGTGAAGTTTAAAAGCTCCTAATGGGTCAACAGATTTTGAGCGAAATAGAAACCATTTAAAACTTTATGCAAAAATGGGTCAGAAAATAAAGTCATAATAGTAACTTGAAAGTGATTATAGATCCACAAGACTGAATGGGCTAAAATCGCGGGTACACATCTAATTATGGTGTGCTACCTTTCAGCTTTTAATATAGAACTTTCAGTTGTTATGCAAGAAACTCCACTTGCATTTTGGGAGAAAATTACACACCTGACTGACCCAGGTCACATTAATCCACACATGTTAGTGAGAAGCCTGGGCTGCTGTAGAATCTGCAAAGCAGTACAGTGCACTTCCCACCCGAGGAAAGAGTCAGACATGTGCAAGTACGGGTGACCCTAGAACAACGTGGGTCCACGTATATGTGTGATTTTCCGATAAACACAGGACAGTACTATAAATGTATTTTATCTTCCTTACGACTTTCTTAACATTTTCTTTTCTCTAGCTTACCTTACTGTAAGAATACATTATAGAATACACATAATATATAAAGTATGTATTAATTCACTGTTTATGTTATTGGCAAGGCTGCCAGTCACCAGCAACCATTAATAGTTCAGTTTTGGGGGAGTAAAAAGTTATACTCAGATTTTCAACTGTACGGGGATCGAAGCCCCTAACCCCCATGTTGTTCAAGGATCAAGGAGTATTCTGGAAGTGCCTGCTCTGTGTCCTAGCACTTTGTGACAATGTGTGGGTGTCAAAGTGGGAGTCATGCTTGGTCTGGTAGGAAGACATGAACCAGAAGGCATGACTAGGTCTGCAGTCAAGTTTGAGACAAAGAGAGTATGGGCTCTGGAGCAAGAGAGCCTTGAGTTCAAATCCTGCCTCTACCATGTCATAGCCATAAACTTGGGTAATTATTCTAACTTTTCTGAGCCTCGGTTTTCTCATCTGTCAGGTGGGGTTAATAATTGTGGCCACTGTGGTGAGGATGATGTGAGTCCCTGCACTTAGTGTGCACTGAGTAAGTGTTGGTTATTTCCTTCCCTTCTCTTGTTTACCTCCTGTGCATGGTATAGGACTGACATTCAGAATAAGGCGGTTAATGGGTATCTTTTCATCTCAACCCTGAGGAAGGGGAAATCAATGTGTCTTGAGTACTGGGCTGGAAATGACAAAGGAGACTGCACAGATGAGGTAGGAATAGATAAGGTTGACACACTCAGAGGAAGCAAAGACAGCTCATAGTTCAGAGTTTCCCAATTATTTTTCACAGAAAGACCTTCTTAGAAAATTATAATATTGTATGGTACATTGGAGTTGCGCAAAGAAGGCTGTTCACAGGTTGATCCCCTGCCCCAGGCTCTGCCAGCCTGTGATTAATTTGTAGCACACTGGCTGGGAAGCTGTGGTATAGAGAACTTAAAGGTTCAGTGACCTGCACCAGCCCCCTTAAATCCTTTTTGGAATGAGGCAGGGGGTGAACAAATGGGACCTCAGTCAGTCAGTCTCCTACACTTGGCTTTGCAGCAGCCAAAGATGGCTGGTGGCAGTTTCCTGAGGTGCAGTGCCAGGGAGTGCGGAGAGGAGGTCACATGTACACAAGGAGTAAAGGCCAAATGGGTGGATATCTTTGGCGCCCTCCCCTTGCTTTCCTGCCTTCTGTAGGTTAGCTCATTGCACTGGCCACCAAAGTTCTCTCTGCATAGGCTGTGGCGCTTTGTGTATCAGCACTCAATATGTATGTGTTGAGTTGGATTGAACACATAAGGCTGCTGGCCAAAGACTCTGCCCTGCAAGTTTAGGCTAGTGCCCTGGACAGATGCAAGTGTGATGGGAGGGAAGCCTCTGAGCTGGCCACTTCTCTGTTCTTCTTTATCCTTGTCTCCAGGCCTTGCTCATTGAGCCCAAAATTCACTCCCCAACACGACTTTCTAGTTAGAGTTACACTTGGTCCAAGTGACCTCCCCAACTAAAAATAATCCAGTGGCCACGTTTTTAAAGCCAGACCTTATATTAAAAAAAGTAAAACGTGGACATTCTGACACCTGCTACATCGTGGATAAACATTGAGGACATTATGCTCAGTGAAATAAGGCAGTCACAAAAGGACAAAGACTGTGATTCTACTTAGGTGTGTTGCCTGGAGCAGTCAGATTCACAGAGACAGAAAGTAGGATGGTGATTGCCAGGGGCTGGGGAGGGAGAGGGAGGAATTACTGTCCAGTGGGGCAGAGTTTCAGTTTAGGAAGTTAAAAAAGTTCTGGAGATGGATGGGGATGATGGCTGCACAACAGCGCGAATGTATGTAAATACTTGAACAAACCCAGATGACTAGAAAATATCTATGGCATATATTGCATTGTGTTATGTCATCAAGGAAGGGATGCATGAAAAATACAATTCATAGAAAATTCAGCTATATCTTTGAAGGTTAAGCAGTGACTAAAGGGGATATTATTATTTTGAAGAATACTCTTCTTGATATTTGATATGCTTCTCTTCTCATACATTTCAAAACACAAGCTATTTACAATCCTTCTCATCTGATGGGGTGCAGTAAAGTGTGACTTTGAAATACTGTCAGTTTCAACAAATGCAGAAACAGATAAGTTAATGTTTATTGATATTGAGAGCATCAGTAGCTTGCTGTGGGTGTGCACATTTCCACAAATTATAAAAGGCACCAACTATTATCATCACTAATGTTTTGTAAGATAGAGGCTGATTCAAAACAATTATTAAAAAGATAAATATCAGTATTCTGTTGCAGTTCATGAAAATATTACTGTATTGCCCTTATGTCATTCAGTTCACTGTGGACCCCTGGAATCTTTGAAAAGGCAGGGACTACAAAAGAAATATTTGGGGGTTAGTGGGTTAAATTAATTGTGCAAAGAGTTAGTTAGTAAAAGAGTCAGGATTAGAATCTCATTGTTTCTACAGCCCTGTATTTTTTTTTTTTTAATTTATAGCTTTTGGTTCTTGGAATGGACATGAAGTATTATCATCACAGCTAAGACTTACTATATGTTCCATGAGGAATATAATTAAACTACAGTGTGTTAGTCTATGATTGGCAAGTGAGATAGAGTAAGATTAAATTGATATTTTATATGAATCCACTTGACACTCAAGAAACTGCCAATCATGAAACTATAAATGTAGATTTATATTGTTGGACTTTGGGGACCAATTTGAGTCATACTTACAAATGTATTAATTCTACTTCATTGCCTTTATATTCCATCCCTGTTGCTTAAAATAGCAATGCACTGCCTATACAAATTAAAATGAGCTGCAAAAAAAAAAAAAAAAAACAATGCGAATGTATGTAATGTCACTGACTGTCACATTGAAAAATGGTTAAGATGGTAACTTTTATGTCATGTGTATTTCACCACAACTTATAAAGAGACTAATGTGCAGACCTCAGTAAGAGAAAACTTCATGAAGTTTAAGCAATAAATTTGATCTTCGTTTTATTATTAAAAGAGGAAGCTCAGTGTATGTTCAAGTTACTATAATTTTCAGTCACATTTTGTAATGAGCTGAGTCACTTCTATTTCCTCCTTCCGTCTTCTCTCTTTCAGTTTTGAAATGGATTTAAAAGTACTTGGACTCACTGTCAGGCCTCGGACACCAGGAATGGATGAGGGCCGGAAGGAGGACAGACAACAAGAGGAGGAGAAATGTGGCCAGGAGTACCACTCACTCACCATCAGAGGAAGCCCTCGGGGAGGGGCTCTTGCTCTGTGGGTTAATCCTTGGGAGAGGATACTCCTTATGCTATCTTCCCCATGGCTTCTGCCTTAGGCTTCTGGCTCTTCCTGAGAACTGGGTTGTGGCCTTAACTGAGCCACTGACCTGTGAATTTGGACCAGTCCCTTACGGGACTGCATGGTCTCTTGGGGCCCCTGTAGCCCTGTCAATGTACTGGTCTAAGCCTCCAAGTCTCTTACCAGCAGTAGGTCCCACAATGTAGGAGCGGTGCTTTCCCTGGGCCAGATTACATGTTTGACAGGTGCTACAGGTTGAATTGTGTCTGCCTCTGTCCCCTCCCCCACCAAAAAAATGATATGTTGAAATCCAAACCTCAGAATGTGACTTTATTTGGAGATAGTGTTTTTATAGAGGTAATCAAGTTAAAATGAAATCATTAGTGTGGGCCCTAATCTAATAAAAGGGGAAAATTGGACACAGACACAGACATGCATACAGGGAGAGCAGCACCATGTGAAGACACGGAGAGAAGATGGCCGTCTGCAAGCCATGGAGAGAAGCCTGGAATATATCCTTCCCTCACAGCCCTCAGAAGGAACCAACCCTGCTGACATCTGGATCTGGGGCTTTTAGCCTCCAGACTGAGACCAAAAAAAAAAAAAAATCTGCTATTGAAACCATCTAGTTTGTTGGTACTTTTTAATTTTTATAACAGCTCTAGAAAATTAATACAGCGGGTAAAGCAGATTTTCCCCAGATTTCCTTCACTGGCAGCTGACAGTGTGACATATGGCCATTCCTAGTTACTTAGGTCCCCCCGAGAATTCCTTTCACCTCACTTCCCAGAGCAGGCGTCAGAGGCTCCAGGGAGAGAGCCACTGTCTCAGTGGTCACTCCTGTCTCTTCCTAACAGGCAGGTTCTAGAAGTGGAAGGAGAGAGAAGGCTGGTGATGAAGGGTTTCTTTATCAGAAGGCTTTAAGTACCTTTCCTGGAACAGGGACTGCATCAAGTGTCCTTGCCTCAAGGACTCATCACCAGAGCCTACCTGGGAGAGGGAAACTTTTCTGATTTACATAGCCCCTCTTAATGCATTCTTGTCACTTAAAAGGAAAGTAAACTTCAGTGCTGAGGTACTAGGCTTAGTCATATGGCCTCTCAGCGCTCTCTAATCAGTATCACTTTGCCATCGCTAAGGTTTCTGTAAGTCCATCAACAGCCTCTCACCTCCTCTCAGTTCATTATCTCATATAGTTAGAGGACCTATTATGGGAAATACGTACTGTCATCAGCAGCTTAGACATAAATTTATGCTGCGTATGTAGTTGGTCAAAGTGCCTCTACTCAGCTCATCACGATTTTTCCACTAGGACCAAGGAAATTGCTGTCTGATTATTCTCTCCAGCCCCATCAGTTAAGGAGTCTTGTCTAATCCAGTGTCTAAAGACTTGACCAAAATAGGTTTTTGTCTAAAAAGATTGATCCTGAAAAATGAGATAAAGGGCTGTTCAAAGTGGTTTAGGGGAACAAACTTCATTTCATCAAAGTACACTGTCTTCCTCAACAAATCCTTTTTGGTTTAATTTCTCTGAATTTGTGCAAAACGTATAGCAGCTGTGGTAGCAAAGATGTTGTACTGGAAATTAAATCAAATGCGTTGATTTTCTACTGAGATCCTGGCATTTTTTTCATAAAGGTTTTTGCTTTTTTTTTTTTTTTATTTCAAAGAACTGTTACAGGGAAGCAGCAAGATGAACATTGAACAAGAAATTACCCAATTCTGTGTTTCCTAAGTTGTTATGTCCTCAACAGGTCACTCCTCTTCTCTCTTTACACTCTATCCTAGGCCATCTTCTCCACACCCATTGCCAAACACATTTCTCCAGGCCAGACCTCTCCTGTGAATGCCAAATTTTAGATCCACATGCCTCTTGGACTCCTCCACTCAGTTGTCCCTCAGACTCCTCAAACTCATCCTGTACAGGCAAGTGAAAAAGTGAAAACCACCATCATCTTATTCCACCGAAATTTGCTTCCTCTTCACTACCTGCCATCTCAGGGAGTGGCACCCATTGATTGGCCAAAACTGCAACTCCTCCTTCAGTTCCCGTCCTCCATGACTTTCCCTTCGGTCCCCATATCAGTAGCCTAATCTTTTAACTCAATATTCTAAATCTCTACCTTTTCTAGCCTCACCAGCTCTCCAGTGATTTAGTGGTGTTCTCACTATATAAGCTGCTTTAGAACAATATGCCCCGGATCCTCATTCCATGTTTTGTTTTGAGTGCTCCTGGTTTGCAAACTGTCTTTTTTGTGTGTGCACAATAAATTTTTACGAAGTACCACTTCAGGTATCAAAAGTTCATAAAAACAGAAGCAAAGCCAGCAAGCAAATCACTGAAGGGAAAATCTGGTATTCACAGGAGAGGTCTGGCCTGGAGAAATGTGGTCCCATCTCTAACCCCTGGCAACCCCTAATCTGCTCTTCATCTCTGTAATATTGTCATTTCAAGAATGTTACATAAATGGAATCATACAGTATGCAGCCTGTCCTGTGTATCATTAGTTCATTCCTGGTTATTGGTCAGTGGAATCCCACATTATGACTGCTAACCTCAGTTTATTTATTCACACACTGGAGGACATTTCAGTTGTTTCCAGTTTGGGACTATTACAAATAAAGCTTTTATAAACATTCATGCATGGGGTGTTGTATGAACACAAGTTTTAAAGTCTCTGGAATAAATGTGCAAGAGTGCAGTTGCTGGGGTGTATGGAAGTTGCATGTTTAGTTTTATAAGAAACTACCAAACGGTTTTCCGGAGTGGTTGTATTATTGTACATTCCTGCCAGCAAAGTGTGGGTGATCCAGTTTCTCCACATCCTCCCAAGTGTTTGATGGTGTCACTATTTTTATTCTAGTGATTTGGATAAATGTGTAGTGATATCTCATTGTGGTTATAATTTGCATTCCTTGATGGCTAATGATGTTGAGCATCTTTTCATGTGCTTTTTGCAATCTGCATACCCTCTTTGGTGAAATATATCTTCACATCTCTTGCCCATTTTCTAATTGGCTTGTTATTTTTTACTGTTGAAATTTGAGAGCACGTCATATATGCTACATACAAGTCCTTTGTCAGATATGTGCTTTGCAAATATTTTCTTCCAGTCTGCAGCTAGTCTTTTCATTCTCCACGTGGACTTTTGAAGAGCAAAAATTTTACATTTTTGCCAGGTCCAATTTATTCATTTTTCCTTTTACAGATCATCCTTCTGGTGTCAAGCCTAGGAACTCTTTGCCTAGTCCTGAATCACAAAGATTTTGTCCTTTCCCCCCCCAAAACCTTTATAGTTTTATGTTTTACATTTAAATCCATGATCCATTTTGAGTTCATTTTTGTGTAAGGTGTGAGGCTTTGGTCTATGTTCACCTTTTTTGGCCTATGAATGTCCAATTGCTCCAACACCATTCGTTGAAAAGGCCATCCTCCCTCCACTGGATTTATTTTGCACAGTTGTCAAAAGTCAGTTGAGCGTATTGGTGTGGACTTCCTTGGGTTTTTAACCTTTTCAGGGTTTTAGCTGGCACCAGGTCCCAATATGCCTTAATTTCCTCTGAGATATATAAAAAGTGAATCATCATTTTGTAATGATACCAACATTATAATTAACAAGGATTTTGCAACAATATCAAATTAAACACTGATCATGCCATATAAATTTAACTTGATCATTGTGAGTCTCAACTCTTCAAAGGGCTAATTCTAACAATTAAATTAGCCTGAAGCCGTAAGAGAATTGTGAGATGAATCAGAACCAAGAGGGGAAGCTTCAAAGCTACTACATCATAATAGCAGGTGGGAGTGACCTGGCTGTGAGGTTCTGCTGGCAAATGCAACTAAAGGTCTTTTTCTATTCCATCTACTAGGTGGGCCTTTACTTATAAATAGTTTGTTGCCCTATACAATAGTTGTATTCTTAGAAACATGTGTTCATGCCACCTTCCACTGTATAATGTACTAGAAAGAGCCCTCCCTAGACTGGGATACAGTGGACCTGGCATCTAATCCCAGCTGTGCCTCTAACCTACTATGTGACCTAAGACAATCCCTACCTGTCTCAATGTCTTTCAGCTCTATGAAATGCAGTTCAATTTAGCAATATCTTCTGAGTGCCAACTCCGTAACAAGTCTTGTGTGATATACTGAGATGAGCAAAATGCATATCTTGCTCTCAAGTTATTTTCTCCCCTGTAGGCTATACTTGCAATTTATTAAACACTTAAAGGCAGCTGCTATGCTACGCACTTTACGTGTCATACTCCCTTTAATCCTCAAGTGACCTTGTGAGGTAAGAGGTAATATCATCCCCACTTTACAAATGTGGAAACTACAGCTTTGAGAGGTTAAGTAGCTTGTCCAAGGTCATCCTGTTGGTGGCTCTTTAACCACCACATCACATCAATTGATGTCAAAGGACAGAGTTCAGGTGGGCTTCGTATGTGAGATAGGATCTTAATCCAGTAGGACTGAAGGTAGCATTTTGAGAGGAAAGAAAAACAGAAGTTAGATCTATTTAGTAGCACTTTACAGGTGGAGAAGCTGAAGTTTAAAGAAGTGCTATGTCTTGCCCAAAGTCACAAGAGAGTCCAGGACTCAAATCTATATTGTTCTTTCTTATGGTAGGGGAATAAGGTTCCTTTCCTAGGCGAAGACCAGCCTCTCACCTCGTGCAGTGGATCCATCTCTTTCTCCTTCTTAGGGATCTGTCTCTTCATCAATTACTCCCTGTCATCTATGGGAATGACATCTTCTGGGCTGTCTCTTTTGTCCCAGCAATTAAATGTATCCAAAAATCTTCCTGTGTTAGAAATCTTTCCCCGTATCCTATATTAGCTGTTTCTCAAGCTAACAAACTCTCTCTCTCCTACTCTCACAGCCATCCTTATGGAAGGAGTTGCCTATACACAATGTCCTAACTTCCTCACCTCTCTCTCACTCCCATCCCACTGTAATCTGGCTTCTGTCTCCAACATCTCTCCTCTACTGCTCTTACCAAAGTCATCAGTGACATCTTTGTCACTAAGCAATATTTCTTTTCTCATCTTGCTTGGCTTCTCTACAACAGTTAATGAACTTGACTAATACCGCCTCACCTGAGGGTTTTAACCTTGGCCTGTAAGACATGGTGTTCTTCTTTGTTTTTCCTATCTCTCTCTTCTTCCATGTCTCCTTTATAGGTTCACTGTCTTCCCACTTAGCTATACTGTATTATTCTTTTAATATATTTTCTGGATTCAATCTGCTATTATTTTGTAAAGGACTTTTGTGTTTGCTCATGAAGGATATTGGTCTATAGTTTTCTTTCCTTATAATGTTTTTGTTTGATGTTGGTATCATGGTAACACCAACTTCATAAAGCTAATCACAAAGTGTTTATCCTCTTCTATTTACTGGATGAGATTGTGTAGAATTTATGTTAATTCTCCCTTAAATGGTAAGATTTTCTAGGAAAGCTATATGGGCCTGGACATTTCTTTCTTGGGAGATTTTAAATTATGGATTTATTTGATAGTTATAGGATTATTCAAATTATATGTTCCATATTGAATGAGTTACAGTTTTTTTAATGTTTTTCAAAGAACTGGTCCATTTGGGTCTAAATTACCAAGTGTATGTGTATAGAGTTATCTGTATGACCTTATTATCATTTTAATGTCTCCTGGGTCTGTTATGATATCCCCAGTTTCATTCCTGATATTGGTCATTTGTGTTTTGTGTCTATATATATTTTTTTGTCAGTCTTGCTAGAAGTTTGTCAATTTTATTGATCTTTAAAGAACCAGTTCCTTCTTTCATTGGTTAAAATTTTTTTTCTGTTTTCAATTTTGTCAATTTCTGCTCTTATCTTTATTATTTCCTTCCTTCTGCTTGTTCGGGCTTATTTTGCTCTCCTATTTCTAGGTTCTTAAGGTGTGAGCTTAGATTATTTATTTGAGACTTTTCCTTTTTTATGCATTTAGTGCCATAAATTTCACTCTTGGCACTGCTTCAGCTGTGTCCCACACATTTTGGTATGTTGTATTTTCATTTTCATTCAGTTCAATGTATTTTTTTTATTTTCCTGAAACTTCCTCTTTGAGCCATGCATTATTTAGAAGTGTGTTAGTTAGCTTCTATGTGTTCATAGAGTTCCTTATTATCTTTCTGTTATTAACATCTAGTTTGATTTCATTTTGGTCACAAAATATATTCTATATGATTATAATGTGTGTGTGTGTGTGTGTTCTATGGGCCCTTGAAGTCAAATAATGTCAGTCTTATGACTTTGTTTTTTTTCTCTAAAAATTTTTGGGTCTTCTAGTTCCTTTCTCTATCTATATGAACTTTAAAATTTGTTTTTTGACATCTACTATATGTAGCAAAATGTTTTCTGGGATTCTTACTGTGATTGCTTTGAATCTATAGATCAGTTTGGGGAGATTTGACATCTTAACAGTATTGTCTTTCAAACCATGGACATGGTATATCAATCCATTCAGTTAGGACTTATTTCATTTCTTTCTTTTTTCAAAGGTTCATTCATTCATTTACTTGTCCATTCAACAATTCATTCATTCAGTGTCAGTGTTGTGGCAGACGCTGGAGATAGAGGGGTGACTAAAGCTGA